AAAATCAAGGAAGCATTTTATCTCCAAATCAATATTTTCTAAATGACAGCGTGAACTTCAAAGATCTTCCTAGAACTAAATCTGAATGCTGCACCGGCCAAGCTATAGATAATTTTAATAATTTAGCAAATGTATGCTTACCTAAAGTCCCTCCAGTTGTAGGAAATGTAAAGATTAAAAAAGCAAGGCTCAAAAGGATGCGGAGTTTGTATAATGATCCTTACCATCAATCGTCTCAGCGAATTTTAGGCAAAACTGCTCATAAGGAACAGTTATTAAAAAAGCAACTCTCTGTCATAGATCTTCAACTACTCTCCATGAAGAACTCATTCGAGATGTTATCTGATTTGTACATAAATAAGCACAAAAGCTTTTATCCATGCAGTTTCCAGATGTACAAGGATTACAAGACCCTATTCTTGGATCAAAACTTCATTTTAGAGTGCAATCTGGAAAGTTTGTTCAAATTTTACATAATGGTGCAATGCATTGGCTTACCATTTCAAATTTTTAAAGTACCCATCGTAACTCAGTTGATGTTTTTGATTTCTTATATTATGATTTAAGTGTTAGTGGTCAAGTTGGATCAATCAAGAATGGTTAAAGAATCTTTTTTGAAATTACAGTTCAAAGATTTTCAAAAACAATCTGTAATATATGGTATATATTACGGCGTAATATATATCATATATATCACGTCGTAACATATTAGTGACTATACTTGTCGAGACTTATCATTGCAGAGGATATATAAATACAATTAAAAGAATTCAGTATCATACCGCAAAATTGGGTTAAGACACTAATCACCTAATATACGAGAAACGTTTAACACGCCTTAATTCAAACTCCGCTTCACTTTCATCCTTAACACGATTACCCTTCAAACTCGCCGTGTGCGTAGTGACCTTATACAGAGTAGTGAACTTATACAATTAGTACTAAATAATTAATAGAATTGATTGAATTAATTTTTTAACGTCATAAATCGCCCCAGTTTATCAAGGATCTAAGTAAAGTCTTATAACAAATTTTAGAACAAGCCGAATAATTCGCATTAGAAGCCGAAATTTTTTTGAAACATGATAAAAGGCGTAACTTTTTTATAAATGCTGTAGTAAAAAAAATGGAGTTCTCTGTTAACTGCCACATTAGACTATCACCATCGCTAAAAGGTTTTAAAGGTTGACTTAAATAGCAAGATTTATTTAAGCAATTTGGCTGGCGCAGCTATAATTGCAAATTTTGTAAGAAAAAGAGGGGTCCTTGCCTGCCTTTTTCCATCAGAATAATTAGGATGTGCATTTTAAACAAATTTTATACCGTGAATTGTTATTATTGTTCTCAATTTCAATTAATTTGCAAATGTATACAAGTAATATACATATACATGCATGCAAAAAGCCGTTTTTTTTTTTTTAATGATCGTTTGAATAAGCTTATTTTCGTTATTTGCACGACGGTCGTGCGAATAAGCTTATTTTCGTTGTTTGCACGACGGTCGTGCAAATAGACTTGGCCGAAGAAATCACTTGCAACCAAGCTGGCATGATAAACCTTTTAGTTGTAGAGATAGATTACTTGGGGCCAAACCAGTCTATTTTGAATCACAGCCAATTTTGAATCATGTACAAATGTATCTTGCACTATTGAAGTAAATCTCCTATCGACAAATTCAGTTCAAGAAAGACTAAAAAGGCTCATTGAAATCAAGTTGAAAGGATGTGAAAACATCGCGAGAATTACGCAACTGCGCCTCAGCATTCTCAATTCCTACTACCAAAAATCAATTTGCGATTCACAGGTTCCAGAGCTCTGGAAAAGATCAATTGTTACCCCAATTTTTAAAAAGCAAGCAGAACCAAGCCAATTATAGAAAAGTCACACTAACATTGGCTCCCTGCAAAATCATAGAAGGTATAATACACGAAAAAATCATAAATCACTGTCTTAGCACTAACCTAATATCTAAAGCAGCACGGATTTCTTCATAGTAAAAGATGCGCGTTGAACTTACTTGAAACTCGGGATATACTAACAGAAGCAATGCATCAAGGCTACGGCATGATATCATCTTCACTGACTTTGCGAAAGCCTTTGATAAAGTTTCACACGTAAGACTTTATCACAAAATTAAAGCCTATGGTATAAACGGCCTGAAAACTGGCTATCGAATCGTTATCAACTAGTTTTAATTACAAAGTATAAATTTAAATGGTAATATGTAGCAAGTGGAATACCCCAAGGCTCCACTTCATTCTATTTTATAACAGACGATATGCCTGACTATATTAATCATCACATAAAGATTTATGCCAACGATCGTAAAATAATCACTGTTCTAAAATCTAAGGAGGACAAAGTACCATGCAAATTAATGTAGATAACTAAGTAGATTAGTCGCATAAATGGAATATGCCTCTCAACATCGATAGGTGTAAAGTTATGCACGTCGGGCGTGGTAACTTCAAATTTATTCAAAATTATTCGATACTTGACTTCAGAGGAAACAGAATTCAACAGGATGCCACTAAACACAAACATGATCTGAGAGTACCTCTATCAGACAATCTTAAAGACAGCTATTAAGTCAAATTAGCAGCAGCAAGAGCCAACAATAAACTTGGTAGGCTAAAGAAAGTATTTAGAAGTCGTGGACTTTTTTTGTGGAAGTACTCTACAAAACCTATAAAAGACCCCAGTTAGAATTTGCAATTCTAACTGGGGTTATGTCACCACACAAGATAAAAATTCTAACTGGGGTTATGTCACCACACAAGATAAAAGACATTGCTATTCTAGAGCAAGTACAGCCACTAAAACAATCACCGAAATAAAGCACCTGTTATATAAAGAAAGATTCCGTCATCTTGGTTATATACACTTAAAGAAAGATGAGTTCGACGTGATCTGATTCAACAGTTTAAATTTTCAAAAGGCATTGATCAAATAATTTTTGAGAATCCTCAACACTATCGATTTCCAAATACAATTTGCGTGGACATTATCATAGACTTAAACGTCAAAGGGTAAAAAACTAAATAGAAAGATTCAATTTCTTCACTATTCGCATCGCTGATGTATGGAATACGCTACCTTTAGACGTCATAATTGCTGAATCAGTCAACTCGTTCAAAGATAGGGTTTACAAACTAAAATTCATTAAAGATGAATGATCGGACACACGTGTCTTTAATTTCAGCATGAAAGTGTCAGTGTAGCACTTTCTCATCAAAATATATAATGTAATATATGCATATATAATTGATTTCTGTAATACATAAACTCATATCTACCTGGTCATGTAATTTAGATGAAATTCCCTGCCATAATGACAGAATGAAATGCAAAAATTTGATATGCAGTAAAAAAAAAACATTTTCTTCGTTTTTGTCCGTCAGAGAACAAGGATAGTTGAGAATTTAACTTTTTCTAAGGTTTCTTATATACTATGGTAGTTTCTTAAATTAGTTATATAGGTGTATCTCTTTTCATTATTGTTTATAAATTTATGATACTTTGTTTAAATTTACATACATATTAGTTGGATACATATTAGTTATATACATATTGGTTACATACATGGTTAGAAGTTTTTAAGTGCTAAATTATAGTCAAAAAGACCAAATTGGTATTTTGGAATTGAGATTTCGGCCTGCTTTAATTTACTTAATAAATTATGTTTTTATATAAAAATTATTATTTTTTAATTTTCAGTTATGAGATATTAACTGAAGTTGCAGCAATTCTTGGTAATGGACTGTTAAATAATCTCGGCATTATTACTAAAACTGACAAAATTGATGTTTTGGATTAAAGTAAAATAGATAGAGCTAAAAAAAAGAAAAAAAAAAAGGATTTGCTTGCATTCCGTTGCTAAACATGATTTTATAGACTAAAATCTATCTTGTATTGGTTGCGTTAGTAAAGACGATAAAGGTAGATTAGTTTATCACAGTATATTGTCTGATAAGTTTATCAAAAAAAGAGTCACTTAAAAAGATTCATCATCTAAGTGTTACAGCAGAATCAGGAGTAATGAAATAAAAATATCTTAAACACAGAGACATTTTTAATGGTACAGGAGACAGTTTAGCACTATCTGTCTATGAAGTGTTTATACATTACAGCAGTGTTTAGTCTTTGTTGGGAATTATTTTTGATAATACTAATGTCAACACTGGCTATAAAACAGGGCCTTGTGCCAGTCTTGGCAACGAAAACTGTTCACGAACGAAATAGCAAGTTATTACAGAGAAATCAATTTTTTTGTTCTGTAAGTTCTGATGTAATGTTTAAAGAATGTAACCTTATCACCAACTAAAAACATATCAAATTCATCGGGGATAATGTTACGGAATCAAATTGTTTTAAAGCTATTAGCGGTGGAAGAGTAAATATCAAACTAGGTTTAATAAAAGTGAAAACTGATGAAGAATAACAAGGATCACAATGATGGAGAATCACAATGGCCATTATGTCATTATTTATGGCCAAGTTGTTTATGTCATTATTATGGTCAAGATTGATACCCAGCGGAAAGCGCCTTTCACAAACTGTAGTTGAACTGTGAGGCATATTGCCTTATAGAACAACATTCACCTAACGATTTTATTCGGTTTTTACAAATGGAAGTCAGAAAACTTTTTTTTAAATTTTTTTTATTGCAAATACCATTACAGTTTGTCACACAACATTTCAACACAACAATTACCATTACCTTCGTCACACAACATTAGACATTTTTTTAGTTTATAAACTAGATAACAGTTATAAGTTATTTTAAAAACTAAGACGTCGCTTGCAATTAAATAATTAAAAAAAAGGTATTAAAAACTTATAATAGTTAAAAGTAATTAATAAATACAAAAAAAAAGAAAATTATAACAAAAAAACTAAATAAAATAAAGAAAACTATTCAATATAATTAATTCCTATTTAAGATAAGCAATTTTAATAGTATATTGAGATTGTGGATAACAAAATAATAAAGTCAAAAGGCATGCGTTTATATCTATTTTGCTTTGATGATCATCATGTCGTATGACTATTTAAAATTAAAAAAATAAAGATGTTATTTGAATTACACGCTTTCAAAGTTAAATAACTTACTGGTAGAACATCACAAGTTTTACCAAACTTACTGATAGAACATAATCACAAGTTTCACCAAAATTCACAATTTAAACAAAAAGTATAGCACTTACAAATAAACAAAAATAATTTCTGTGCGAAAGATAAAGTAGTTTGAAAAAATTCAAAAATGGTACCGTTAAGGACCGTGAGATAAGATACCTTGTTTTAAACAAAAGCACACAAAAAATGAAATACACGATTTAATAAAACATATAAAACAATTTTACTTCTCCATCGTTATTTATATTAAAAAAGTGATCACATAAGTAATTCAAATTTTCTTTAAATTTCTAAATATTATCTGACATATTTAAGCATTTATTCTCCACTGAACATTAATTTTTTGCAACCAACTTTAACTTAAAAACAGAGAGAAATATTTATAAACAAAAAAAATTGAACTTCATATATTATTAAAAGAAATGCTTTGACTTGAAACAAAGTTCAAAACTTTTATCCTTTATGTTGTTTTAGATACTTTTGATTCTTTCTATGTGGTGTATTTAAAGTGTTGCTAAGATTTTCATCAACTTTAACAAAGAGAATTATTACAGAACATGTTTACTCTTTCGGAATGAACAGCTATGTCAGTTGGTCTTCCATCAAATATTTCTCCATCAATGTCATAAGAAAGCCGCTATAAAAAAACAACACTTAATAGCTTTTGACAAAAAAATATAACTTTAATTGCAAACGTTTTCAAAAAACAATACTTTCAAAACCATAAAATTATAATTGAACCATTAGTTTAAAGAAGACAAACAGAGTCGTTTAAATTTAATCCTAGCAACAGAACACGTTTTGTTATCACATTAGAAAAACAAATATGTTCCAATAAATTAAATAACTCCTAACAATTGATACTATTATTTAATGAGTGATACAAAAATAACTCTTACTTGATCTTCTGATGGGTTTATAGAGATTTTCGACACATGGAAAACTTCACTTTTTTCTAAATTAATAGTAGATTAATTTTGTTATAACATATGTCCTTTACATACAACATGTAACTGCAAAGCAATAACAAAAACTTAAATGTAAACCTGAAACCTTATTCATAAAAAAAAAAAAAAAAATTTCTGGCTGTTATGAAATTCTTTCGTAGATACAGTCTGACCAAACCCAAACCCTGAGACAACGTATAAACTGAAGCTCCCATATATTTAAATAAGATATTATCATTGTTTAAATAAGATATTATCAGTGACGTTTCATGTAAACCTTAATCAACACTATGATATATGATGGTTTTAGAGAAATATCTAACAGATTTAATGCAACAAAAATTTAAAAATCATTTTATGATTCTTAAATTTTTGAAGATTAAAAAATTATTTTTCCACTTTAATCGCTTGACTTAAGTTAAGACAAAAATTATTAACCATATACACAATTCAATATTTACCAATGCAAACAAAAACCTTTCTTATTTAATTACCAATCAAAACAAAAAACTTTCTCGTTTTATTACTAATGCAAATAAAAAATTTTGTCGTTAATTACTAATGAAATCAAAAAAGTTTACTAAATAAAACAAAAAACTTCTTTTATTTGTTTTTATAGACTTTGTACGAAATTAAATCCAGCGTTTGTTTTTATAGACTTAGTACAATTAAATCCAGCGTCCAAGAAGCAAAAGAAATTACCATTTTCAACAAATGCAAAGTCATTCTTCAACCATGACCAACTGGAAAAAAATATTTAAAAAAATAAAATTTTAGAACGCATTGCTTATATTTTATGATAAAATATAAAACATATATTATATATAAATAAGATATTTGATACAAAAAAGAAAGAGTTTTGTTTCAACAAAATATAACATTTAACCCATATTTGATAAAGTCACTCTTGGAGAAAATAGTAGGTGTTTTTTGAACAAGAAGTGATGCATTCTATAAATAAAAAAACAAACATAAAAAAGAAAAATTTAAAATATAATAATAAATTAACACTTATAAATTTAAACTAGTTATTACATCATTGTTGTCTTCTAAATATAAACTAAGATTGCTAAGTTCAGTAGTGACTGCTACACCATCTGTCTCTAGTCCAAAACTAAATTCAGGTGGCCAGTCCTAAAAATATTTTATAAATTATTATAATATATTTAATTTCTGTAAAATATATAAAAATAAATTTTTACATATAAAATATTTTAAATTGCCTTTTTTCAGTTTAAACTAAACCTACAGAATATTCACAGTTGTTTAGCTTAACCAGGTCTACAGAATATTCACAGTTTTTTTAAATACTTACAGTTATTTTAAATTAATTTAAAATTGTTTAAAAACAAATTAACCATAACAAAAAATTTGTTTAAAAAACACCACAAAAACTTCCAACTCAAATAATTAGCAACAATTTCAAAGTATTAACTTATTATTAAATGTCTAAGAAAAACTTTTCAAAATAAACACCCTTATTACTTACATTTTGACTTTTTTAAAATTGTTTTAAAATAACTTAAAAAAAAAAGTAATAAATAATCGGGTGGGCACGGAAAAATCCGGTTAACTTTAAATTGATATTTTTATAAAACCATAAATGCTTTTAATTTTAATTTTTATTATTATTAAAGGTGTTTACACAAACTCGAGTTTCAACTTAGTTTTAATGGGCTTGATGGGCTGTTTAGGAAGAGATTGAATTTTATAGCCGGTTGATGCCATCATTTTGCAAATTTTTTATTCTTTTTTTCACCTTATTGGTGACATTAATCCACTTTTTTTGGAAGTCCTTTTTATTATTTATTACTCCACCTGCATTGCGAAGAACTCCTTTAACTATTGTCCAAAAATCTTCAATCTTGCACTCTTTAGAGCGATTTGGAAGATTCGCATCTTTAGGAATAATTTTAACATTATTGCCTTTGCACCACTGTAGAACTTTTTAGAGTAGTGAGAGGCAGCAAGATTTGGCCATAAGAGACATTAGTATTTGTGTTTTTTCATAAATGGCAAAATTCTTTTTTGGAGGCATTCTTTGGTGTAGAGATTGGCAGTCAAGGTCTTTTTAGTGACAAAACAAGAGGACTGCATACCACAGCTACAAATTGCTTGCCACACAAAGAACTTGAATGCAATTTTTTCTTGAATGCGAATATATTTAAATTGATCATCGACAGGTTTATCTTTGTTTTTATAGTAAAATTGTTGACCAGAAGTTGTGAAAAATCCGCTTTGCAATATGCTTCGTCGTCTTCAATTATGCACATACTTTTCCGCCATTATTTTAAACAGCTTCTTTGCATTGCGAATTCCTTTAACTTCATCATTTCTCTTAGGTGTATTTTTCTTATGAAATGCTTTAATTCCAGCATTATTAAGTACTTTTTTGATATAAGAACAAGAAGTCTTGAATTTTCTTGCTAGATCTCGCTGTGACTGGTTTGGATTTCTTGCTATTGAACATAAAATAGACTTTACCTTTTTGGATTTATGGAAAACTTTCTTTCTTCCATTTCCAAGTTTTTTTTTGAAGCTTTGAGTAGTCTTGAACTTATTTATAATATCTATGACTGTAGATTTTGGGACATTTGTGTGTTTAGCCATCAAGCGATATGAAGTAGATGGATTTTGTAAAAAAAATTTCCCTAACCTTTTTACGCACCTCAATTTGTTTCCGAAACATTTTGCAAATAATTAATTTATAAACAAAAGTTTATCAACTTGATTAAAAATAAGGAAATAACGTTCAATTAAAAAAAAAAAAAAAAAGAAATAAAAAGCATTTGTGGTTTTAGAAAAATCTCAATTTAAAGTTGACCGGATTTTTCTGTGTCCACCCGATAGTTGATCATAATGCATAATACATATATTATATAATAATACATTATAGTAATTTTTAATAATTAGGGATGCAGAGTCCCAAAAAGGACTCCGGATTTGAAAGTCACAAAAAGATTACTTTATCCTAGTTTTTGGTTTCCAGGAGCTCTAAAAATATAAATAAGTTTATGGACTACTAATAGGAAAAAAAATAAGGACTTTTAGGTTAGAGGAACAATCATTTTTTGAACCCGCAGTCATTAGATATAATGGCGGCAAGGACTCCGGGCTTAAAAACAATAAGTTTCAAGTCATTAAATCTCATGAATTTTTTTCTTATAGCAGATCGTAAGTCAACAAACATGTTTAGAGCTTCTGGACACTACAGACTTGGAAAAAGTAGAGATATAAAGCCGGAGTTCATTTGGGACTCTGCATCCCAGATAATAATACATATATTTTTTATAGTTTTTTTTAAACATATTTAATACTATTTATTAACTTTTTTATATTTAAAACAAGTTCCAAAAAAGATACACTTTAACTGCAAGCAGCCAGTTTTTGAGTTGCAAACAACTAGAAACTACTGCAAGCAGCCAGTTTTTAAGTTGCAAACAATTAGAAACTACTTGCAAGCAGCCACTTTTTAAGTTGCAAACAACTAGAGAAACTAAAGTTAAAGAACAAGCAAACAAAAATTGTAAATTGTATTAGTAGGAAAACATGAAATGCAAAATTCTAAAGCATTGATGATGAGGGTAAAAACTAAATCAATAGAATAAATAAATCGAAATTTTTAAAATATATTCATTTTCCTTTTTCTTTTTTAGCATTTTTTTTAACTGGAAAAGGTCTTTGAATGGCTGTTTAAAAGTTGATTTTTCAATTCAGTTATCAAAATTGAAAAATTGCAATCAGCTAAACCTTCTTTGAAAAGCTCTCAATATTGTGTTAAAATAAACTTCCAGAGGCAACAATTCTATATGGAAAACTGCAATACAGTTTAGAGCAATGGAGAGGAAAGGATATTTCCTAAAACATAGAAGATATCTGGAAAAATTTGAAAAAAATTAATATGAAAACTAAGTAAATTACAGAGGACTGGTTAATGTCATTTTCTGTCTTGCAAAAGACAAACCTTTCCAGTTTTATGACAAAATTTTATGCAGCTTTCAACAAACACATAATAATGACAATTGAAAGGTTGTTGATAAAATTCAGAAAAATGTTGTATTTGTTCCTTAGCCATGGAAACAAAATAAAAAGATTCATGGACATAGAGAACCCTTATAATTGCTTAATAAAATTTTAAATATTTGTAATAACTCTTAAAACGCCTGCATTCTATTACAATAAGAAAATATAAAACATCTTTTATAAAAATAAAAAATAAAATATAAAACATCTTTTATAAAAATAAAAAAAAATAAAAAATAAAAAGTAAAAAATAAAAAATAAATTTTTTTTTATAAGCAGTAAAAACTTTTATTGCTCAAATTTTTTATCAAATGTTGTTATTAAATAAATAGATAACTAGTGTGAAAACCCAAATACAATGCTTGTCTAAGGAATTTTTTTACAACGCAATGACTCTTGTTATCTATATATTCTTGTAAAATTAACGTTACAAACATATGCTTATAACAAGTATACTACCAAATTTTGTATTCAATAAGCAACTTTTTAATGAATAAACAGATAGCTCGTGCAAAAGCTGTTATAAGAAGCTGTTTAGAGGAAGAGCTTACAGGGCTTGCCATATTCGTTTTAGGAGAGCTTTTTTCCACTCCAGTGCTCAATTACTCCCACTGAGGCCTGAATAAGCATGCTTGTGTTTACTGTGAAGGAAACAAAGAAGATAAAAATAGACAGTTAAAGAAACTTCAAAGTTTGACTGATTAGTATCAGGGATTTATTGAGGATAATGAAACTTATAAAGACATGAAAAACTATAAATATATTATTAGACCATGTTTACTTAAGAAGTCAAGTAAACATGGTCTAATAACATATTTTGACTGATTAGTATCAGAGATTTATTGAGGATAATGAACTTTATAAAGACATGAAAAACTATAAATATGTTATTAGACCATGTTTACTTGGAAAAACTTTTAATTGATTTCCACCTCCTGAACTACATTTGCTTTAACATATTGTAGCACAAATAACCAATGTTCTGATGCCTGAGGAGTCCATTAAAGACCTACTAGATTTAGTAAAACTGTAACAAGAACCAGAGAATTTTCTGTGAGCAAAGCATTAACAAGATAATGAAAAGATTCGCAGCTTTAAAGTCAAGTAAATATCATAAAGAAAAGCTTCTCAAAATGCCTGTAACATACTCTAAAATGTACATAATAGCTGTAACATACTCTAAAATGTTCATAATAGCTGTAACATACTCTAAAATGTACATAATAGCAGTAACATACTCTAAAATGTACATAATAGCTGTAACATACTCTAAAATGTACATAATAGCTGTAACATACTCTAAAATGTACATAATAGCTGTAACATACTCTAAAATGTACATAATAGCTGTAACATACTCTAAAATGTACATAATAGCTGTAACATACTCTAAAATGTACATAATAGCTGTAACATACTCTAAAATGTACATAATAGCTGTAACATACTCTAAAATGTACATAATAGCTGTAACATACTCTAAAATGTACATAATAGCTGTAACATACTCTAAAATGTACATAATAGCTGTAACATACTCTAAAATGTACATAATAGCTGTAACATACTCTAAAATGTACATATTAGCTGTAACATACTCTAAAATGTACATATTAGCTGTAACATACTCTAAAATGTACATATTAGCTGTAACATACTCTAAAATGAGAATGTTAATCTAAAAAATATTACAGTAAAACAAAGATGTAACAAGAACGGAAAATTATTAGCAGAAAAAAACACTTTGTATTTAAGTGTGATTGGAACATTTTCTAGGTTTAAATGAAAACAAAAGAACTTATAACACTCAAGTAACATACATATTGCACATTTAAAAAACACTTATGTTAAACATGTAACAAACAAATTGCATATATGCAAAACATGCGTCTTAAACCTGTGATATATTCACATATAAAAAAAACACATGCTAACACATACTATACACATGTTTAACTACATACATGCCTTAGTTGTTCTCCATAGAAAGGTAAAATATTTTTTCAAAGGACCTAATAACCAAAATCTTCCTCTAAAAAAATGTTAAAATAAATTTGTTACCATTTTTTAATAAAAATATTTAATTTAAAACAAAATAAAACAAATACTTATCAATTTGTTCTTTCATTTCTTTGTATACTCCCAGATGAATGCTTGAAAAAGCGTAAACGGGTTTTGTATCAGCCTATAAACATCAAAAAGCATAAATAAGTTTTGAATCAACTTAAAGACAATAAAAACTGTTATTAGTTTTCATATTGGCCTTAATGAGTAAATAATCCAAAAGTATAAACTGTCAAAATAACTAGACTAATCTGAAATCTCAAAGTAATTAGATTAAATTTAAATATTGAAATAATTTAAGAAATTTCTAATAAATTGTTTATCTTGCCTCTATAAAAAAAAAAAACAGTAACAAAAGTTTAATTTTTTAAAAGTTTTTAAATAGCATACTCTTAGAATTTTGTCATAAAATTTCAAAGTTCTGAAACTGAAATTCTGACATAAAAATCATTTGCATAAATATAGTCATAAGATGCAAGATAAAGCAAGATAGCAGAGATAGTCATAAGATGCGAGATAAAGCATTTAAAAAAATATGTTTCTGATTGTAATACCAATGAGTTGAACAGATGGCTTGATTGTCATGGATAAAAAATAGAAGGAAACAGGTCTGAACTGATAGAATCAGTTTTTGATGTATAAAACTTCAAAATTATATTAAAATAGTATTACAACTCAAGATGACTTGACAAACTCAAATTAGATAATAATATTAGAGTAATAAAAGCGAAGTGAATTTTTAGATGTTTAGTTTCTTTGAAAATATTCAAATTTGTTTAATTCTAATTCTTTAAATATAGCTGATTCTTCTATAGTGGATTCTTCTGTAGCGGATACTTCTGTAGTGGATCTTTGGATGTAGTGGATATTCACTATACAAAAAATGAAAATGATGTTAGACAAAATATTCACAAAATGTTAGTGGTTGTATAAAAGCAGCATTTCAAATAGTCAGATGTACATATATAGCATGTTTACTTTTTGTGTTAAAAGATTACGTATTAACACACTTCATAAACCGTTCTAATTGTGAATATTGATTTCAAATCACAATCAAAAGCAGAAAAATGTATAGT